TTAATAATTAATTATAATTAATAATGAATAATAAAATCAAATTAAAAGCAATAATGATAAAATAATAATAAAAAGTATCATAAGATATAATGTATAAAATGACAATAATATATACAAACAAGTGATGCACAGTGTAATTGCTCACCACCCAGTGACCAACATCCGTCCCATCCCAGCTAGTGATCCTGAAACAGAGAAGTCCCAAAACCGCAATCCCAGAAGAGCAAGAACCCCGATGGGAGAGATCGGAAAAAGCCAGTGAGATGGAGAGATGATAGGACTTGAGAATCTGAGAGTCCAAACTTCCTGGCCAACCCTCAACTATATACCAGGCATGATGTTGCATGACATGGAATATTCCATTGGCCAATTTGGGCCTCAATCCTAAATCTACACTCAAATTCTCACCTAGGAGTTGTGGGCCCTTTGTCCCGGCCATGTGCCCCCCAGCCTGTTGTGCTCCTGCACACTGGCAAAACACAGGAAGCTGAAAAGTCCTTGATGTCTCAGCACCAACTATAAACATCAGTGTGATATCAACATTCTTACAACAAATCCCAAACTAAAGCCAAATCGCAGAGTTCTTCTAGCTGCTAAAAAGAAAACTAACTCTGTCCCAGCCAAAACCAGGACACACAGTCAGAAGGGGAGTTCCCCACCCTACTCTTCTCCCCTGCTGAAAGCATTTTAAAGACAGGCACTACTTCTGCTCTTCTCTTCATTACTAATAATTGGCTCGTTACCAAACCGAGAGCGCCGGCCTCCCCACTGGGCCAGATGCTTTATGCAGAGGAGCTGAAATCAGGAACATTCAAAATCAATTCTCTCTGGCAACTGGAATGTGCAAAAGGAACGGAGTTGCCAGGACAACACATAAAACAGGATTTGGGGCTGGGTTTTTTCTTCCTTATGAAAAAAAAAATAAAAGAACCTTGAACTCTGAAGAGCTGAAAATTCTTTGCTGTCACAGTTTCCAGGCGTTACTGGACTTGCTTATTCAATATGCACTCTATTTTTAGCTTAAAAAGAAGTTTTAGCTTTTCAGAAGGAAGCAATTTGGAATTGCTCAGAACAACTGAGCTGGGACAGACATTTGCAAAGACATCATGACTTTTTGAATTATATCCTAGATTTAGTCATTCTCATTCATCCTTTGCTTTGTAGTACAGAGATGGGGAAAAATATTACTGTCTTATTCTTCCTTAATATTTATTGTCCCCAAAAGACAAATCCTTGCAGTGGTCCAGTTTTTCCAAATAACCTTATTTGGAGCAGAATTGTATTTGTGGCATGAAAAGATTTCCTTTCTCTGGAAGCGGACGTTCTGAAGGCAAGAAATAGATGTGAAAGCCTTACCTGTGCACAGCTCAGTTGCTGCAGCCTGATCTGGAAAAGCACTTAAAAATCCTGGAAGTCATATAATGGTATACAGGACTGCATGAAAGCTAATGGCCACCTGGGAGTGCTTTTCACCTCACTGAATCAAGTTGTTATTATATATTACTCTTCGTCAAGCTATTTATTGCATACACTTCCAACAAATCCACTCATGCAGCTAACGCCAGCCGCATGCCTTGGCGATTCCGTTACACGCGCACTAAGCGCTAACCAAACCAGCAAAATAGCTACAGCTACACGTTCTGTTCGCATGCTTCTGAATCGAAATCTTCATGCTTGGTTTTCACCTACACGTGAATTTAGTTCTGGAGACACTTAGCAGAATCTCTCCCACTGTTTCTAAGGTTTTATTTTATGATGAAAATTACCTTGTAAACAAACCCAGAAGATTTAGTTATATGTGTAGTTTAAAAATCTAAACTTTGGACTCGCATGGAGAATAATGCATAAGCAGAAACATAGACAAAGCTGGTTGAACACGAACCAAGTTACCAATGTTTGGAAACTGCATGGACAGCTCGCAAAGGAAAATGTTTCTGAAGATGTGCTGAGTGCTCAGGTATGTCAACAGTTAATAATTAGCCTTAGATCTTGTTCCACCTTGAAGACTCAATCTTGCAGGGTGCTGAGTGCCCTCATGCCTCCCTGAGGTCAAAGCTGTAGGAACTGTCAATGACTCAAATGCAGTGTGACATGATTAATGTAATTAAAAATTAAATAATAGTATTTTGACATTAGAGTTCCTACAGTAATATTAACTTCATGACAAAGTTATTCGAGTACTGCCTACGTACTTACATGCATAAACAAAATGCACAGAGGAAAAGAAAGGTGATGCTGCCTAATCTAATTTTGAGATCCTAATAGCGTATTCAGGTTTTTGCACTTAACATAAATAGTACTTGGCTTGCTGCAGATTCAGCTACATCTTTGACTGCTCCAGCTTTAGTAGTATAATACTTCCTTCAGTATGAAGCAATCAAAAAGCCTTGGAGGGTTTGAATAAGCCAGAAGTTCACCTGAATGGCTGATCACCTTGCTTCTTTTGGGAGTGATTTCTCATCCCATATTCTCTCACTTACAACTAACAATGACTCAGCCTTCCTCTTGTGCAATGAACTATTTCCCAACCCTTTAGCCGTCATATCCTGCGCTGCAAAAAATCACTTACCTCCGAAAAGCACCATCGAGCACAGGTTCTCAGAACAGAAACAGTTATGGGGAAACCAAATTAGTGGTAATAAAACAGGTTAAAGTGTAGCATGGAAAAGGGAAAATGTACAGGGGCAGAAACCACAGAGCGGGTTTCACATGGTCAGGAGAGGAGAAATACCTTATGCCTTATTTGAACCAACTCTTCAGATCCAAAACAGCTGGTAAGAATTAATTTTGAGGATACTTTGAAGAGTGAAGTTCTGGGTGGTCTCCACACACACAGAGAGAGCGCAAGCCTGGAGTTTGTATCCACTGCCAGCTAATATACACCAACAGCAATCAGCAACAGTGACACTTACTCTCCTTTGGCACAAACTGGATGCGCTTGCTTTTTACTTTCACTGGCGACGGCTCAACTCGGCATTTTCCTGGTGGTGCCCTCCTGCGAAAAAAGGGACACGTACAGCACACAATTAATTCCTTTCCCCTGGCATCGCCTTGCTTCCCATTGTTCTTCAACAAATGCAATGCTCATTGGAAAAAAAAAAAAAATCTCTGTTTAAATGATCCAAGTAATCTCTTACAGTAGAAAACATAATTAAACAATCACATATCTCTGTTGATCAAAGTCCAAATATTCACAAGGCAGTGGAGTCTTCTGGCTGTGTTTTTACTTGCCATTGTGGAATCCATTAAGGAAATAAAACACTGGCAGGTTCAAGCATTACAGAAAGAGATTAATCAAACTGAAAATAAAAATCACAAAACTAGACAGTGAGTGTTGAACATCTGACATAAAGGTCATGTGTATGCAAGTTTTCAGGCTGTCTTCAGAGAAGCAAAATAACACACTGTTATTAGTATGTAAAACCCAAACAAAAGACTAACTACTACAGAAGTAGTACCAAAAATGCTTTAGCTTCAAACAAGAGCTCGAAGTGTCTCCTACAGAGGCTTCCTCTTGGTATGACGCATTATTTTGACACAAATTTGTCATGGAGGTATATCTCATTTCTGAGAACTTACCTCCAGTTCATCATCACTTTTTCCTATGCTGCCTGGCTCACTAATCTTCAGCCTTTTTCAGCAGTTTTCAAACTGTTTCAAAAATGCATGATGTTTGCATTTGGAGGGTATAACTCCTTTGCAATTAGCATTGTTTGCATTTCTGTGGAAGGCAAAAAGCTCCCCGCTCAACTACTGCCACAGGGACCTTCCCTGCTTTATGACTTTTCCTATGAGTTCTTTCTTATTCATGTTGCTGTACTCAACACACTGAAGAAACTTCTTTTTAAACTGAAACTTAGGACTTTCTTTTGACTTCTGCTTGCTTTATTTTTGCAAAGGTTGCGTAATACCAGCCTCTTAACACACAGTTTACAGGAACTTTTCCACTGTGTTAGATAATGGAAAATGCTCCTGACAGAGGAGAGTCGGGGGAATAACACACAGCAGCTCTGGGGGCTGTTTAACTTCGGGGTCTGGTTCCAACATAAAACCAGAAAAGAGGTTTCGTTCAAAATGCTCAGATAGGTAAAGCTGTAAATTTAATCTGTTCAAATAAAATAAAAGCTACAAAACTCTCACACTACATGTCTGGCTGAAAATATTCTGGTGTTTAGCCAATAATAGTAACGCTTAAAAAACAGGAAGATGGAAAAAACAGCTATAAAGCCTCCCATAAAAGACAACTATTCCCTGCCTTGCCCAGTCTGAAGATACATGCACATGTGATCCAGAAGGTGTGACAATGGTCTTATTTCCTTGTGCAAACCATTTTTCTCTTTGAAACACAAAAAAGAATGTACTTTTTGACATTCATTTCTTCTTTGCCCAAGAAAGCACTGCAGGTCACCCTGGGCCAGCTTTGGCGCCCGCTGCCTGGGCACAGGGCTCTTATAGCAGATGCTGCTGGCTACAAGGGATGGAGAGGAGCTGAGAATAAACATCTTGAGAAGTGCCTCCTTCTGCGCGGGAATCTAGAGACAAGTCACCCATAAAATACTCCTTTAGCTTTCAGGAACAAATCTCCCAACCTGCATAACATCAACGGGCCCATAACAAGTTGGTAATCACCAGGCAGCATAGACTTCCACGACTGCAGAAGCAAAGCAGACCTACAACGCGTTGCTCCAGCCATTCCTTAACCAACTTCCAGAGAGGCCCAGCATGGGAGAAGAGCTAGTTAGTCAGTCATCATCATTTGTCACCTCCACACCTGGACATGCTGCACCACACTGAGGCTTCCCAACAAGAACATCTCATACCTAGAGGTGTCCACCACTTTGTATACCACTCCATGGGGAGCCGTGGCGCTTGGTACACCAGTAGACATGAAGTAAAGTTCTCCTGAGGAAAAAAAAAAGCAAAACACAGCCATGAAAACTTTACATGGAGCTTCTGTCCTGTACAGCACAAAGGCATTAACTGCATCACAGGTGAGAGAGAATCAGGAAACATGGGACCAACATGGAGATCAGGCTACTGGAAGAAAAAAGGCAGGTTTGTATTTGGGTTTGTAGCGGAAGTTCATCTGCAGTCCAGTGGCCTAAAAAACTTTTAGTGAGTGGGAGCTTTTACATATTGTTATGAAATAATATTTGGATAAATTCCCATTGCAGGTTCTGCTGCCCAGACTTTAGCTGTCATCTCAGTCTGATCTGTGTCCTTTAACTTCAATAATGCAGAACGGTCAAACCCTGAATTCCTTTTGTCAAAACAAAATTGAAGGAAAGGAAATTAAGAATGTTCACATTGTCTTCTGCTCTTTTGGATAAAGCACTCCTTTGGGGTGAATTACAGGAGAACAAGAATTTGCTCTTGCTTTCTCTAGCACACTCACAAAGTGAGGTGTATCTCACACAAAAGGCATTTGGTTCATCACAGCTCTCTCAGGTCACACCGACGGGGCTCAATCTTCAGCCAAACAATGTACATCACCATTTATTTGACTTATTTTCTCTTAACTGCATTTCTGTCCTTCCCCTCCTGTCGTGCAGGGAAAGCTGGGATTAGCAATCCCTCCCGCACTCTCTCTCTTGCCAGCTCAAGTGCTTGGGTGGTGCAATGAAACAGATCAGAGGGAAAAATAAATTTGCAATACTTCCAAAAAAAAAAGGAAAAAAAAAAAAGGAAGAAAAAGAGGCAACAGACACTCACTTAGTGACTAAGGCAGATTTCTTTGGGCCTCCTATGGGTACCCCAAAGGGAAGAGGGGAACGAACAGAGAGGTCAGAGCGTGCAGAGGAAGATGTGGGCAGTTGGTGGCAGCTGCTGCCGGCTGCCGTTGCCCCCCCCC